CGCACACGTAGTATACGCATCCAATTCCGATGCCTACCGCTCGACACCTTTCTGGTGCAGGGCCTTTGGCCCGCAAGCCACAAGAAAACCTCGGGCAGTAGCCCATACGGGGAACAACATACATCGGATAAGATGGTCGGTGTACATGAACGGGGGATGGGGCGATCCTAATCCCCGATGTGCGGCCTTCTCTGGGGCTGGAAAATATGGACCCCACTCAGGGAAGGCTGCGACTGGGGGCGTCTATCCTCGATAGAGGTCCATCCGAAGAGCCCCCCAGGGATGTATCGACGTATCCCGAGTTCCTAATCTTTTCTGAGGGAGATCGGGGACTGGAAGACCCAAATCGACTGAGGCTTAGGGCTTCCTGCCAAGGCCAGAAGGACAACACCTGAGATCCGACATTGCGAAAAAATGCAACATCGCGAAAAATCACGACCGGAACCGTAGACACCTCTTTCTTCACTATGCTGTACCTTCGGGACGGGTTGATCTGCGATGGTGGGGACCGAAACTAAACGAAAACGCCTGGTGTGAGCGATACTTATGAAACGTCTGGGTCACAAAGTATGCGCGAATCGGGCACAAACATCTGGGAAACCAAAAGGCACCGATACCGCTACCCCCAGCACTTCTTCCTGGGTGCGTTCTGACTAGAATTCCGAGGCGAATCCAGCCGTGGCGACGAGGGCCTCCCAAAAAGGCCCCACACTGCGAAAACGGCACAAGCGCAGCGGTATCGGCAACTGCTGGCGAAGGGTCCCTCGGCTTCTCCAGAGGGCGTCGGGGACGATCTCGGCAGCCCCAGAACGCTCGCGCCGGTGCTGGAACGCACCCAGAGGCTGGAAAAGCCACGCAGAACCGACGAGAGCGTCCGAGGACCTCGAGCCGCCACGGATGTGCACGGCCAGGAGCGGTGCGGGCGCAGAGCCGGCGCCCTCCGGGCCTCTCGCAGCGCGGCCCCCGCGGCGGCGGAGAGCCTGTCCGGGTGCACCTCCGCGGCGCGGCAGGCCCCGGCCGCCGCCGCCGCCGCGCCCACGGTGGCCGCGGCCGCGCGCTCCTCGCGGGGAAGCGATCAAGAGTGGGGGCTGCTGAAGGTGCCCCTGGCCCAAGGTGTCCCCAGCTCTTCGCTCGATGTGGGAGCCCCCCGGGGCCCTCTGGGCCTCGTGAGGGGTGCTCTGAGAGGCCGTGGGCGCCTTCTTGGAACCCCTCTTGGGGCACCTCGGGGCCAGGGGCACTTCTGGCAACACCCGACGAGAGAGGGCCGGCCAGAGTCTCGAGCGCGACCGGAGTGGACTTAAGTCGGGCCTGGCTCTCTACGGGGGGAAAATTCAAAAATAGTCCATATTTGTTTTTTGTATTTTGTTTTACGATTTTTGAATATTTCGTCTAAGCTCCCCCTCTACGGGGACAGGCCCGACCTAAGAGTGGGCGCGCGAGAGGGCGCAGGACCTCCTCCGAGGACCCGGCCTCTGCCCCAGGAGTGCAAGATGCCACGCGGCGCGATGCCGTACTGCACTGGGGCATCCTCGACATGGGCAGGGCCGCCCTGCCAATCAAACACTCGGCGGGTCAGGAGGAGGAGGAGGAGGAGGAGGAGGAGGAGGAGGAGGAGGAGGAGGAGGAGGCAGGAGGAGGAGGAGGAGGAGGAGGAGGAGGAGGAGGAGGAGGAGGAGGAGGAGGCGGGGAGAGGAGGAGGGAGGGAGGGAGGGAGGAAGGAGGAGGAGGAAGGGGAGAAGGAGGAGGAGGAGGAGCAGGAGGAGGAGGAGGAGGAAGAGGAGGAGGAGGAAGAGGAGGAGGAGGAGGGGGAGGAGGAGGAGGAGGAGGAGGAGGAGGAGCAGGAAGAGGAGGGGGAGGAGGATAAGCAGGACACGCCGGCGGTAGCGGCTGCAAATGAACAAATGGAAAGCGCCCCTCCTGAGCACAACAAGCAATATTTCTGCACCTTGACTGCCCCTTCGCGCCCCCGCCAGAATCCGCCCAAAAAATCGGTCCCCAGACACTCCTCGAGGGAACGACGCGAGGTCAAGAGGCCTCCTGAGCACGAAGAGCAACTTTTCAATATTTCTACACTCTGACTGCGCCTGCGCGCCCCCGCCAGAATACGCCCAAGATCGGTTCCCGAACATCCCTCGAGGGAACGACTCGAGGTCAGGAGCCCCTCCTGAGCACGAAACGCAATAAATCTGCACCTTGACTGCCCCTTCGCACCCCCGCCCAGAATCCGCCCCAGATCGGTCCCCGGACGCCCCTCGAGGTCCACCCCGACCAATGTCTCGAGGCGGCTCTGGCCGTGGCGACGAGAAGCCCCAAGGAGGCCCCGCAAGGACGGAGGAACGCCGGGGACGGCTGCGACTGCCTCCCTACAGGCGGATTTTTGGGGAAAAATAATACATAGTAAACAAACTCCCCCAGATGATCAAGAATAGTCGAAAAATCGTCCCCAGACTGTTTCTTTGACCATTTTTCAATATCCTCCCTGTAGGGGGACATGCCCGAC